CCTATAAGGGCATAGTTGTCTTTGTACTGCTCTATTATTTTTAGTATAAATAATAAGTGAAGGGGGCGGCCAGATTATTGCTCTCCTTTCTTTTCAACTTCTCTTCTTCTCTTCTTCTCCTTCTCTCTTCCTTCTTTCTTCAAGAAACTCCTTTTATTTCATATTTTTTAATTTAGCAAGCTTTCTACTTGATATCAGAGCAGCGACTAGGGTTTCGAGAGCATTATCATGTAGCCCTATTCTTGAATTTTTTTTGGTGGGATCTAGTCATTAGGAAGGTGATCTACTGTTCGTCATCAAAATCAGGAAGAACTGGAGTACGGGGAAGAGTCCTAGAAAAGTTGGACTCTTTGTTTTTTATCTGATCTTGGGCGGCTAGGTATTGTTAGCTTTCTTTTGATTTCCTGAAGAGTGTGGTTTGGTTTCTGGATTTTTCTGAGCCTCTTGGAGTGATCGATTCACTCTTCTCTTTGTTGGGAGGCATGGGGAGGAGAGAGATTTCTCTCCAACTAGGGTTTTCTTCTTCCAGAAGGATTTGTTTCTATGTGTGATACTAAATTGTTTGTGGTAGGTTTCCAATCTACTTTTTCTTACTGTTGAACTGTTTGAAGTAAGATGGAGAGTTGGAATACCGAGATGAAATCTACCGGTACTGTGGGACTAGGTGTTGGAGGTAGTCGTGATATTTTTGGGTCTGGGATCATTACTACAGTAAAACTTGATGGTACAAATTATTTGGAGTGGGCACAATTAGCTAAGATGGCTATTGGTGCTTGTGGAAAATTAGGGTATCTCACTAGGGAGGAGAAGAAACCTGATACAAACTCTTTCTGATGGGTGTAGGAGAATTACATGGTAATGTCCTGGCTGTGTAATTCTATGTTACCTCATATTGCAAAAAAATTCCTATGGGCTAATACTGCTAAGGAGATTTGGGATGGAGTGATTGAAACCTACTCTTAGAAATAAAATGAAACCAGGGCCTATCAGTTAAGGAATCAGGTGATAAATATGAAACAGGGAGAAAAACCTCTTGTTGTGTATTTCTCCATGCTGAAAACCCTATGGCAGGAAATAGATCACTTAGAAATTGTGGTATGGGAAAGTGTAAATGATGCAGCAACCTATCACAGATTGGTAGAGAGGAATAGGGTTTTTGAGTTCTTGGTAGGGTTGAACCTTGAATTTGACATTGCTAGGCAGCATATTCTTTCTAGGGAGGGTGTGACACTCTCTCAAGTCTATGCCTTTGTCTCTGGAGAGGAGAGTAGGAGGAATGTAATGCTGAGACAGCATGGGATTGACCAGTCGGCTATGGTTGGTACAACAAAACCTAAGCCGAATGGAGACAGGGGGAGTAGTGAGACTAGAAGGGAAGATAAGAAGGACTTGGTGTGTGATTATTGCAAGAAGCCTAAGCATACCAGGGACACTTGCTGGAAGCTTTATCCAAATCTTATGCCTACCCGGATAAGGAACAAGAAGGGAAATGTAAATGTAGCCACTACAGGAGACTCTTTGGTCCCTCTTTCCCAAACTGATTGGGAATCCATTGCAGTAGCAGCAGTGAGGACAGATTGGAGAGGTTTGGACAGCTTATGAGTAAGAAAGATTCACCTAGCACTAGCCTTCTAGATAGACAACAGAATGTAGGAGCCATCTACACCTCTTCTTTTGCACATACAGGTAGTTCATATGCAACTACAAATCTTGCATCCACTTCAGGTAAGGAGGGACATCCCTGGATTATAGACTCAGGAGCATCTGAGCACATGACTAATGCCCCTACCCTTTTCAGTTCCTATCAGTTGTGTTCTGATAGAGACAGAGTCTCTATAGCAGATGGTTCACATATTCCTATTGCTGGGAAAGGGACAGTTAGAGTGACCAATGATATAACTCTGTCTTCTGTTTTACATGTCCCTAGACTTCATACCAACCTACTGTTTGTTAGTTCTTTGACAAAGAATTTGAATTGTTTCGTGACCTTTCTTCCTGGTAATTGTGTTTTGCAGGATCTGGAGTCAAAGAAGATTGTTGAAATAATTTAGTTATTTGTGTTAGGGTTTGTTTGGCTAGTTAAAGTGTTTTTTATTTTTTGTTATTTCTATTATTGTACTCACTTACAGCAGGGGCACAAGAGTCTTTTCCCTTCTTATTTCTACCGCCCTATATAA